AAATCCTATGAGGAGAAACACTTTCTTAATCCATTTCTCATGAAAGTCTCACGGAATCCCAGAAATTCTGGACCTGAAGAACTGAATAAATAAGATGAGGAATGTATGAGAGAGCACTGGAAATAGGGCAGTCCAGATAGAAGAGAGAATTACAACCTTTTTTTTTTTTTTTTTTTTAGGTAGAGTGGGAGGGAAAGAGAGGAACAGAGAGAGAGAGAGAGAGAAACATCGATGTGAAAGGGACACATCGAGTGGCTGCCACCCGCACGAAGAAGAGAAGAGAGAACTAGGAGTTTAAAAAAAGAAGGAAAGAAACAACTCTATGAGATTAGCTCACTGCATTAGAGGGAGCAACATAGGGGAGTAGGCATACCAGAAGAGAAGGAGAAGCGAACACGGAGCCTACTCAAAGAAATAGTTGATGAGAACTTCCCAAGCCTGTGGAAAGAACAAGATTTTCAAATAAAGGAATCTAACAGAACACCTAATTATAGCAATGCACAAAGATGTTCTCCAAGACACATTTTATTCAAATGTCAAAAATTAATCACAAAGAATTCGTAAGGCAGCCAGTGAAAAAAAGACTATAACATATTCAAAGAAAACCTCATTAAATTATTATCAGATTTCTCAATAGAAGCATTATAAGACAGGAGACAGTGGAAAGAAATATGCAAGATATTGAAAAAGAGGAACCATAAATCCAGCAAAGTTATCCTTTAGAAATGAAGGAGAAACAAAGGCTTTCCAAGATGAGGCCCTGGACAGTCTGGTTCAGCGGTTGGAACGTCGGCCTGTGGACCAGAGAGTCCTGGGTTCGGTTCCCGCTAGGGGCACATACCAAAAAAAAAGGCTCCCAGATGCCAAGACAAACAGAGGCTGAGAGAATTAGCCACCACAAGACCTACATTACAAAATTGAAAGGAGCTCTACTACTGGAAATGAAAAGACAAAAGTATATAAAACTCTGAGTATGATAATTAACAGACAACAGAAGAAAGAAACTGAAAATCTACTTTAGCATAGGTTATTAAACAATTATAACATAAGGTTAAAGGAGGGCAAAGGGCATTAAAATAACTATAATTACAGCAATTTGGTAACGAATGCCTAACATAAAAAGGGATAATTTGTGACAATAAAATCATAAAAAGGGAGGAGGAAAGGGGTTGAATACATAGTGAATGAAGACAAGAAACAATCAGAAGAAAAAAGGACTACTGTATATATGAGACATTTTACAAAAACCTAATAGTAACCACAAAACAAAAATCCAGAGCTGTGACATGAAACATAAAAAAAGGTAGACCATATGTTAGGGCACAAAACTAATTTTAATAAAATTAAGATTAAAAGCATACCAAGCATATTTTCTGACCACAATGGTATGAAACTAGAAATTAACTACAAAAAGAAAGCTGGAAAAACCACAAGTTTGTGGACATTACACAACATGCTACTGAATAACTATTGGTCAAAGAAGAAAATGAAAGAAGAGATAAAAAGATACAGACACAAATGAAAATGAAAATACGACATACCAAAATTGGCGGCGGCGGGGGGATGCAGCAAATACAGTACTAAGAGTGAAATTTATAGCATTACAGGCCTACCTCAAGAAATGAGAAAAATCTCAAATAAACAATCTAATATTATACCTTAAAGAACTAAAAAAGAAGAACAAATGGAGCCTTCAGTAGAAGGAAGAAAATAATAAAAATTAGAGTGAAAATAAATTAAATATGAACACATTCCCTTTAAAATCATGAACAAGGTAAGTAAGCTGCTATTACCATTTCTAGTCAACATCGTACTGGACATTTGAGAAAGGACAGAAACATAAGAGAAAAAAAACTGGAATGGGAAAATTAGATTTTTATTTGCAAATAATATTAGTATCTGCCTGGTAACCCCTACCACCTATACATAAAATTAATAAAGTAATTCAGGTAGATTACTGAATACAAAATCAATATATAAATCAATTGTGTTTCTATACATAAGCAGCAATCAGAAAATATAATTTAAAAAATACTGGGCAGTATTCATCAAATCCCAACAGGAACTTTATTTCTTTTTTTTTTAATCCTCACCTGAGGACATTTTTTCATTTTTTTGCTCAGGTAGAGTGGGAGGGAGAGAGAGGAACAGAGAGAGAGAGAAACATCGATGTGAAAGGGACACATCGAGTGGCTGCCACCTGCACAACCGACCAGGGCCGGGGACAAACTGCAACCGAGGTACGTGCCCTTAGTGGGAACCGAACCCGGGTCTCTCAGGACCGCAGGCCGACGCTCTCACCGCTGAGCCAAACCGGCCAGGGCGGAACTTTATTTCTTTTTACAAAAAATTTGATATGAAAAGCAGATACCCAAGAATAGCCAAGATATTTCTGAAAATTAAGATGGGAGGATGGGCCCTACTAGATATCAAGATTAATTACAAAGGTACAATTATTAAAGGCAGGTGGCATCAGTACAAGAATAGACAAACAGTAATGAAACTGAAAAGAGAGCCAAGAAATAAACCTGTGCATATATGTATATGTGAACTTGATTTATGATAGCTGGCATTACATCAGTGGGGGATAGGTCCAATACATGCACCGAGGACAACTGGTTACTGTCATGGAAAAAACGAAATTGGTTTCCTGCCTCACACCATACATAAAAATCAATTCCCGGTAGAATAAAGGTTTAACTATAAAAAGCAAAACTCAAGACCATTCAGAAGAAAATACAGAGAAATATCTTTATGACTTTAGGGTAGAAAAGGCTTTATCAGACAAAATCACAAAGCACTGACAATAAACAAAAGGATCAAGACAAGATTAAAACAAAATTATGAATTAAGACACGTTTGAAGCTGCATGACTGTGCATGCTGATCCATTATTCTATTCTGTCTGTCTCATATGATTTTTTTTTAAAATATGTTTTTATTTATTTATTTATTTATTTTTTTAGAGAGAGAGAGGGAGAGAAACATCCATCAGCTGCCTCCTGCACACCCCCTACTGGGGACTGAGCCTGAAAGCCTGGAATGCGTCCTGACCTGGAATAGAACCTGGACCTCCCAGTTCATGGGATGACGCTGAATCTACTGAGCCACACCGGCCTGGCTCTCATATGATTTCTAAAAAAAGACACTGTAAGAGTGACAAAAACAGCCCACAAACTGAGCTCTTTGCCACTTACATAACTAAAAAAGGTTTAGTATTCAAATATATGTAAAATATATAAATAGGAAAACGAACAATCCATTAAGAAAATATTTCACAAAAAAGTTAATATCTGAAAAGATGTTTAATTTCTCTAACTGAAGAAAAGCAAAATCACAATACGATACTATTTCAACGTCTTATAGACACATAAAAACTAAACAGTCTGATGCTATCAAGTGTTAGCAAGTATGCAGAACAACAGGAACTCATATACTGCTGGTAGAAGTGTAAGTTGCCAGTAAGAATGGACAATGCCTTTATAACTGGCATCATAGTGTAAAATTGAACAGCCCTATACCATATGTTCCAGGAATTTCATTCCTTGCACAAGAGCACTCATAACATATAAGAATATGTAGCAGCTAAACCTGGTGTTTCTAGAATTACCAAAATGTTCACTGAGAAGAATGGATGAACATATGATATATTTTCACATTTGAGCAAATAACTAACATCACTATAGATGCTTCTCAAAATACACTGTTAGTTGAAAAAAGCAAGTAAATTAAAATACAAATGGTATGAAACCATTTCTATAATGATAAAAAAGCATGCAAAGTTACACAACTGCATCAGGAAGCAACAGACAGATGCTCGGGAGTGGAAATACTCTATTTCTTACATTGGAGAATGGGTTCATAAATGTTGGCTTTGCTTCATAACTTATACATGTGTTATATAATCCTTTGGTATCAAATACTGCATTCTTAAGGTTTTTTTTTTTAATCCTCACCAAGGACATTTCTTCCATTTTTTGTTCAGATAGAGTGGGAGGGAGAGAGAGAGAGAAACATCCAGGGTCGGGGACAAACTGCAACCAAGGTACATGCCCTTAGCGGAAACCGAACCCAGGTGTCTCTGGACTGCAGGCCCATGCTCTAACCGCTGGGCAAAACCGGCCAGGGCTGCATTCTTAAGTTTTTAACTCTAGTGAAAAAGGGTTGTTGACTGAATAAACAACAGAATTTTAGAGTTATTACTTTGGAGTTTGGATAATGTGGGACTTTCACTATTACTCATTTCTGGACCACTTAAAACTTTTACAATTAACACATAATATGCTTGGGGAGAAATGATTACAGAAAGGAAAACAAACTGCATAGCAATCTGGGACTCACTACTATGAGGGGCAGTAATGCACTGTTCGATTTACACAACAAATTTCTCCCAGATGTCCTAACTTAAAACTATGCATACTCTGTGGGTTGTCTGTAATATATTGAGAAAATTTTCCAACAAAAAGGGATTAAAAATACTGGTTTTTACTGAAATTATTTCTACTTTGTCTGTGTTAACAATTCCTAGCTTCATCTAATTTCTATTATACTTATTTGCCTTTGGCCCACTTCTGCACTTTTCCAATTTTTTTCATACTGTAAACTGCACAAATAATTTTTTAAATGTAAATAACTACACGAATGTCTCCCATCCCCAAAGGGCCGCTCTGCCACTTTCCCACGAGCATCCATGGGTGGTGCGCTGTGCGAGTCCCCAAATACCCAACCCCGGTCGTTTGCTGTCCTTCCTGGTCAGAGCAGCGGCCGGAAGGCAGCAGGTGGAAGGGCTTTGGGGATCTTCTACCTCTGATCCCACCCCCGAGATCCCGGGCGGTAGGGGGCCTGCCCGGGGCCTAGACGCGTGTGGCCGAGCTCAGTGACTCGGCGACCCCCTCCCTGCACCCTCCAACGCCTGGGACACGTGGCTTCTCCCGCGGGAAGCCTTTCTCGCGGCTCCGAGGACCCCGCCCGCGACCTTGGCACCTGGGCCGGATGCCTTACTTGCGGCTCTCCACGCTGGGGCCCGCGCGCGACCAAGAAACGCCGCTAGCCCGCACAAGGCCATGGCGCAGACGGCTCAGCGTCCGATCTGGCCCGGGCCAGGGAGGGCGCCGCAGCGTAGTCTCGGTCCGCCCCCCAGGAGGGGCGGGGCTCCCGGGAGGTGGGGCCTGCGTGCGCCCGGGGGCGGGGCCTGCGTGCGCCTGGGGGCGGGGCCTGCGTGCCTGCTCTTGGAGTCCTTGCTCTGGGCCCAGGCTGTCCGCAGGCAAAGTAGCGGAGGAAGCAGCCGTGTACTGTCACTAATGACCCAAACTACCCTGAAGCCCCTGTTATTTAAACCCCCAAATCATGACTGAAGTTGCATGAGGGAATAATTTTATTCTTCTAAATCTGAGAAAAAAGGTCTCTGGGAAGATTTTTTTTTTAATCCTCGCCCGAGGACATTCTTCCAATTTTTTGTTCAGATAGAGTGGGAGGGAGAGAGAGGATGAGAGAGAGAGAGAGAGAAACATCGATGTGAAAGGGACACATCGAGTGGCTGCCACCCGCACGACCCAACCAGGACCGGGGACAAACCGCAACTGAGGTACATGCCCTTAGCGGGAACTGAACCCGGCCTTCTGGACCGCAGGCTGATGCTCTAACCGCTGAGCGAAACCGGCCAGGGTGGAGATCTCTTTTATAGTATACAGAGATTGGGCATCGTTTACTCTTTTCCCTCAGTTCTCTATTTTTTTTATTTTTTAAATCTCTACTTGTTTGGTGAACTCCTGGTTCGTCCAGTCGTTGACCAGATGACCTGCAAGATGGGTTTTGAGTGAAGTGGAGAGCAAGAGAAGGCTTTCCGTCTGGTCCGGGCCACTGTGAAAGGAGTCCTGCCAATTGGCCCCTTAAATTCCAACAGCTCCAATTTGTTGGGAGCATATATGGTAGATCAGGGGGTTTTATGCAACCCGTGGAAGTCTTTACAGAATCACAGTGGTCTCCAGAATTTGTCTTTGTTTAAGATAATTTATTGGCTAGCTATTGGGCCCTAGTAATGTCTGACCACGTGATATCAGGTGGCCATGCAATCTGAGTTTCTCATCATGAACTAAGAGTTATCTGGTCCTTCTAGATAAGGAGTTCTTTTACTGAGAGGAAGTGACATACACAGAACAGGGCCAGAGCCCAAAACAACAACTGCAATGAAAAAAACCCACAAAAACAAACAAACAAAAACGGCAACCAATTTTCATTATCAGGTAGCCCACACACATACTTTTAGCTCATATCTCCAGCTTAATGATAAGTTGATAAGTTCCTTGTGACCAGGTAACTGAGGAAAAAGTTTAAAGCTGGATTACAGATGGCTTTGCTCAATACACTGACCCACTGGCAAGGGACTGCGTCCCATTTAGCAGAGGCCCTCAAGGAACAGCAGTGAGAAAAAATATGCTCCCAGAGGGCAGAACTTTATCTTGTACACTTTGCCTGGAAGGGGATATGACTTGAAATAAAGATCTACATCATTTCATGGTCACTGGTTTAGTCAAGTGGTCAGGGACTGGGAATAAAAAGGTTTTGGAATACTTCTGTGGAATAGGACCTCTCAAAATGGCCCCGAAGCAAAATAATATTTGGGTCCTAATGAATGCTCAAAAAAGGCTCCCATTGTTAAAGGGCTCTTAATCAGAGCAAGTTTCCTCTGTTGCTGGCTAACATTATAGCAAAATTTCATGGCTTAAAAACACATTTGTTCTCTCACAGATTTTGTGCCTCTGGTTCTCTGTCTTAACTGAGTTTACAGTCAAGCTGTTAGCTGGGGTTCCAGTCTCATATGGCGGCACAGTTCGGGGAGGGATCTGCTTCCAAGCTCACTCATGTGATTATTGGCAGGATGTTTTAGTTGGACTACAGGCTTCCCTCAGTTCCTTGCTATGTGGGCTTCTCCAAAGGTCATCTCACAACACAGCAGCTGTTTTTCCACGGAAAGAATAGGGGGTGGGGTTGATCAAGATGGAAGACAGTCTTTTTGAAATCTAATCTCATAAGTGAGTGACATCTATCACTTACGCTGTATTCTAGCATTAGAAGTAAATCAGATCCAGTCCACTTTCAAAGGGAGGGGATTACACAAGAGATGAATACAGGTAGGTGGGGATCACTGAAAGCCATTTTAGAGGCTGCCTACCACAATGACCCAGTTTGTAGACATCAATCTCCTTTCCTCACCACAGCTGTTTGCTCAGTTGCTAACAAGGTAGCCACGGTAGCATGGAGAAATACATATATTTGTAACATTATTTTTCCTCTGCCAAGACTGATTGGTTAGCACTATTTCTTGTAGCATGAGTGGCAGGTTTGATTACAATGGGATCTTACTATAATAAATGAGCATCCTGTTTTATACGAATAGACAATTACTCTGGGGTTGGATTGCTTTCTCTGACTTATGCTTCTTTTCACTTTCCTATGAAAGATGTAAAGCAGGGTATGATGCCTGTGGGATTAACCCATTTTATCACAGATCCCATCAGACTAGAAGCAAATGGTGGTATAAAATAACGGACAGTCCTATTGAAGGTTTACTTTTGGAACTGCATGAGAAAATACATTTTGGGATGCTGTCCTAAAAGATTTGGCATATGCTCCAAATGAATTAAGAGTATCCAGTGACATTTCTTTGGTTGACAGAATAACAAGGTCCAAAGAGTAGCAGAGGGATTGACACCTTGTTACATATGACACATTGCCCATATATTTTGCTTTCCATTGTGGGGAGAAACAATCTGCCATGAGTCCTGAGGGTCCTTGCATATTATTGCTGAGTATGCCAACTGCAAGGTTTACCCATCTCCTGATACTGAGCTTTTCTGTAGTTAGCCATACAGGTATCTAAGTAGGTCAAAGCAACCACAGCATCACTCCCATGTAACTGCTGCTCCTCTGGGAGAAAGATACTGGCTTCTTTGCTGCTTGCTCAAAAACTGCTTGGACTTCAGCTCTGGATTCGTCTGTAATGCAACCCACCATATATATACAGGTGTCATCGGATCCTCTGCATCACTGTGGGTTTTGGGGCTCCAGGAACTGGTGTAAATATGCTGACACTTGGCTACTTTTTTGCTGTAATAAAGTCTTTTTTTAAAATGTTTTTGATTTTTTTTTTTAGAGGGAGAGAAACATCCATCAGCTGCCTCCTGCACACCCCCTACTGGGGATCGAGCGTGCAATCTGGGCATGTGCCCTACCCAGGAATTGAACCAGGACCTCCTAGTTCATGGGGCGACACTCAATCCACTGAGCCACACCAGCCTGGGCAGGTCTCTTGTCTCTTACTTAGGAGTCTACTGTAAGCATCCATGAAACTGGCAAGCAAGCCAGCAAGTAGGATAAAATCTGACCCTTCACTGATCTTGCCATCCATCTCCACAGCTTCTGTTGGTGCACCAATTTTTGCACCCTGAGCGAGGTACAAGGGGATATGATTTTCCTAAATAGGAAGTTGGGATTGCCACTTGATCATTTTTAGCTCATTCCTCTAGGAAAGGAGTTAGAAAAAGTGGTTATGGTGCCAGCTGAAGTGACTGGCCCTGATAACCATGGGGGGAAAGGGAGCAGGGAGAGGAGTTTGACTAGAACTCGAGAATCTCATCTCCTGAAATACCTCATACCAATACCATACTGAATTGTAAAAATTAAGCAAAGACTGTTGCAACCATATACAAACAAAACCACCCAAGCTGCAGATCCCTGGGTTACCCAATAGGTAAAGACCAGCTGAGGTGCTGGTTGAAAACAAAGGAAATGGAGTAAGTAGCAGTGGTGACAAGTCATAATCATCTAGCCTTCATGATCAGTGACAAACTGAGGACTGTATTTACAAAAATTTTTTTTAAAAAATCAGGTAACTTTGGTTCATAAAACATGCTGCTACGCATATCCTGTCCTGAAGATTCAGGTGGTCTGCAACAGGGCCCTGGAGTTCGTATTTTTAAGAGTTACCCAAGTAATTCTCACCAAGGAAGCTTGCAAAACACTGTTCTAGCTATACTTTTAGTCACTGGCTCATATATGTTTATATATTTAATATCTTCTCTTTTCTTTCCTATCTTTTACTATAATTATATATACTGGTGGTATTGGTGGTTAGTTTACAGTTTTGTCTATGGGTTGCAAACTACTGAGACAAGAGTTTAGAACCAGAGAAATGGGTATCACTGAGATCCTGGGCTTGAAATGGCTGAGGGATAATAGTATTAAGAGGAAGCATTTCAAATGTATAAATATAGGAAGAATGGAGTAGGTAGATGTTGGAAAGACAGAGATGGATTATAGTAGACATTGGATTTGATGACTCAGCACCAAATATAATAACTTATTTCACTGGTTTGGTAAATCTCAGTAGGAGAAATGGTCCCATCTTCTACTGTGGAAGCTGAGGTCAGATATATTTGCCGTCTTTGATGTCTGACAGCCTGAATAATGGCACAAGACTAAGCCTGGTCAGATGAATATTCCCACCCGATTTAGAATCTGGAGTGAGTGATGCAAATAAGCAGAGTGTTTGGAATTCAGTTTTCACAGGCATCAGTGCCAGCAGAAATATAAAAAAACTTCCAGCTTTTGAGGTGGGGGCTCGGGTACGATTTTGGTCATCTAGCTTTCTTTGGTTTCTACTATTTTCCAAAACTGGTTCTCCAGCCTTTCCATCTATTCTGAGAGCTGCCTAATATTCTTCCACTGAATCATTTTTCTTCTTAAATTTATCTCATTTTGTTGTTGTTTCAACCAAGAATCCATATTGGGTATATATTTTAATATGCTTCATTCTCTAAGAGTCAACTGTTTCGGATAATCATTTCCCTACCCCACCCCTGCAATCTGAATTTGGACAAGGATAGTGTATGATAGTTTCCCTGGTAAAACAGAAGTAAAGTTTGTTAGATTTTAAACAATTATCATGGATATACTTGTAAAACTATATTAAAACAAACAACCAATCAACCAACTATGATCATAAGAGCAATTGACACTTAAATACAATTATATGACTATGAGTAAGAGTGAATCCTTTGATAAACCTGTAAGAGATTATTCAAATTTAGAATAAGCGTGATATTTCAAATTCAGGGTCAAGGTGTGTAAAGACGAAAAATGTGTGTTGCAAAAATACATGGTGGATAATGCATATATTTACATTTTCCAGTTACAATGCACTTGGTATATTATTGCTTAGTCATTTCATTAAATTTTCAAGTACTTTTTTTAAAAAGTAAAGATTTATGGAGAGCAATCAATGACACACCTTTTAACTACTTAATATATGTAAAGATGTAAATTATAAAAATACTTTACAAAAGCTGTAAGTTACACAATCATGCTGGTCTATTGTTAATATAATCTATCCAATTATAAATATATACCTCTAGTATTCTGAAAATAAGCAAGTGTTTTAGCTGTTCCTCTAGATAGTCATGTGTTCATTTATTAACACCAGAGGCAATAACACAATGCTAAAAATAAACATGCATCAATTATACAATACATACATACAAAAACCTTGTGTCCAATCACAACTGGTGAACGCAAACAGACCTTCTATCCACCCTTAGTGCATTACGATTTTCGCAAGTAAAACAGTAAAGGAAAATAGAGAATTTAATGCTATTCAGCACCTTTAGTAAAGTCAAAAGACTTAACATCTCTATATCAAAAACATTTGCATCTGTATCACCAAACATGTACAGTTAATTATTTTGTTCAATTTTTAACATGAATTACTTTATTTACATTACTCTTTAATTCAACAAATTTTAACAATATTTAAAAATTATCTAAATTCATAAAAGTATTTCATAAACTTCAACATTTATTATGCACATACAAGGAAGTCCATGAAAAAAGTTAAAGAAATGTAGTCAGAAAGTTCAAGCAACATTACCAAATTTAACAGAATTCCAACTAAATCAAGGCAGAGGGCATTCAAACATTCAAAAATCTCTAGATGCTGCTAACATGAACATGAAAAGTTCCAGTAATAAAAGTCAATATGAGAAACAATGTTAAAGTCACCAGTAGAAAATATATTTTAATAGGCATGACATATGTTTAGTAGTAACAGTAATGACTTTTTATAGAAAACTTTTATAACATTGTCATATATGAACTACCTCATTTGGCAGGGCTGAAGAGTTGATTTCAAAAAATATATTTTAGCAGCCATAATTTTATTTCCAGTTAAAATATAGTAAAATGTTAAAAGTAAATTTATGATTAACTAAATATACCCCAATACTAAAAAATTTAAAATCCCATGCTATTCTAGCAATAATGGCCTCTATTGTCTGATGTGTCTGATGTATGGATTGTGGAAAGCCAATAAAAAAAATCAGACATACACATGGGCTTAAAGTTTCACTGAAATACTTATGTAGCAAAATATATGAAAAAGTAATAGAAAAGTAAAAAGATAAAATTAAAAAATATTGCACAGCCACATTACCTAGAAAGAAAAGTTGATGTTTAAAAAGCTCTAAACATGGATGATATAAATTATCTTCCATATAAAAAGGTATAAATATTTCTTAGAACTTATCAGCATCTACAGTTTAAATATAACACATTATTTTAATCATTGTTGAATGAGGTAATTGTCAAGTCTCTTAACAATGTTTTTATCCTACTGGAAATATTTGAGGGCAGCAACCAGAAAGAATTTCTCTAAAAATATTTCTGAATCAAGAACAGCTATATGTGCAGCTCTCCCAATGAGTGAATCTGCTGTATTGGGCAACGCATTGATAACGTTATATCGAACCAAATTACAGTCCTTGCTTTGCAGAACTGGGCGAAGCAAATTGTGGATCATTTCTGAATAGATCTGTCCTATGGAAAAAGAGGAAGACTAAAATTAGTTCACGATTAACTGAAAAAAAATTCTATATCAACTTTTATAAAATTTATAACGTTACAATATTTCCATTAAAGGAGAAAAACTGTCTGTGTCTATGTATCATACATACATTTTTTGCTTAATCCCTTCGCCTTTTTTCACCCAGTCCCCCAGCCTTCCTCCCCTGACAGCTGTCAGTCTGTTCTATGTATCTATGCTTCTGTTTCTATCGTTTGTTAAATTATTTTGTTAATTAGACTATACACTTGAAGCTTGTATGGTTTTATTAACCAATGGCACCCCTATAAATTCAATAAAAATGTTGAAAAAGTTATTTTAAAAGGTTTTATTTTCCTTTGACTATCATTTTTGAGACTGTTTTAGAGAAAACATGATTCCATTATTTATCTAGCCAAGTAAAAAATAACAAATTTATTATACATTATTCTTGTCAATTTGACATTTTTAATTCAGAGCAATGCATATAACAGAGTAAATAGTTTTCATCAACATTAAGTCACCTATGATTCGTCAAGCCGTTATGAAAGGTAGCCATGCTGAAACATTTTGATAAGGCAAAATTTAAAACGTTAGTGTACAGCAAATTTCTGTGGCAATTAACATTTCCCCACATATTTCCACAATAGAGGGGTGGACAAAAGTAGGTTAATAATATAATAAAATACAATAATTAGTAAATAATAGTACAAGAATAAACTCTGTATTTCATGTACTCACAACTGTAAACCTACTTTTCACCCACCCCTGTATTTTGAGAAGAACAGCAACTTCTTATAGTCAGAAGAACAATGTGAGTTTGGCTCAAAGATCAAAGAGGATCCTTTATTGCTCTGAAGGTTTATTTAATGCTTGGTTCTGCTTTTAATTCCAAAGTTGTGCTTCTCTCTCACTCTTATAATGGATTTATTGAGGTCAAGCTAAGCATAAAAAATCAAAGTTAGATATACATACACATAAAAGCACAAATTACCTATAAGGGGGCAAAACAGGTTTTAGTGCTAACACATACCCATCGAACCTGTACATTTTAGGGAGGCAGATGTAAAATTTTGGAGTAGAGGCAGATGTAGCCCTGAGGAATGAAGAGAAGGTAATAATATACGAAAGTACAGTTAGAGAAAGAAGAGAGAGGTATTTAAGAGAAAGATTAATATCACACAGATTCATATACAACTTCTCTTAGTTTTCATTGTTAGTCAAGCTGGATTTCTGGTTCCATGCTATTTAATTTCGTTTTGTTTTGTTAAATCCCTCTCTTTATAGGATTTCCCCTGTCCTCCAGTGGCATAGAACTCTACTATTAAAACAAAGATAATTTATCTAATTTTAGTGACTCATCTAAAGGTTAAACCTCTTCTGAATTTTCCCTAAGTGGACTCTAGCCTTTTCCCATAAGTGGACTCCTGCTAGGACAGAAGTAAAATTACACACAAAACACTTCCCAAGTTATTCTGACGTCAGAAAATGCTCAAAAAATATTTGTTAAATGAATAGAGTACTTAGTGTGTGCCAGCACCATGCCAGACAATTCTAATACAAATTTATCTAAGACAGTCTCTGCCTAAAGGAGCTGTTCACTGTCACAATGTGGGGAAAGCAAAGGATTAAGACTTTGTTTAAAATCAGCCTTATTCCAAAAAAGGAACTGAGATAATACTGGGAGACAGGACCCCCAAATTCTTATCTTAAGCCTATAATTAACCACCAGTGACTTTGGATATGTCACTTAGCATCTCTGGGCCTCAGTTACAAAATGAGCAAACAGGACCCAAGTCTCTTTCTGGCTCCAAAAGCTGTGATTTAAATTTCTTTTGTTCTTCAAATATAGCAAAAGAATAACTAAGTAAATTCTTCATCAGTCGCTATCATAAAGTAGTATAACTCCTTGCTGCCATCTTTGACTAAAAGTGAGGTACAGATGAACATATAGCATGACCACTACCACAATCACCAATCTCAAGCATCTGGAGAAAATCAAAGTACAAATTACTTTTGAGGCAGCAAAATGGAGAAGCATTTGTAATTAGATGAAATAATTATTTCATAAGAACAACTACTGTTTCATTGGTAAAAATATATGATGTGGCAGGAGTAAAGAAAGGAAGAAAAATAGAGGAAGGATAGCTACTTAATATCAGTGGGTGACAAAAGAAGTAAAAGGAAAGAGAAGGATGAAAGAAGAAAGCGACTACAAGGAAAATTTGGGGGAAAAGCTCTTGTATAGATATAACTCTTCAAAGTACTTTTAATTTACTTTCTTACCTGACTGTTTGTCCTTTAAAGCCGTTTTACACATTTCAATTCGGGCGGAGTGATAAGGAACATAGCGATCCTGTAGAGATCCCACCAGCACAACATTTTTGAAATAATGAAGCCCTGTGAAAAGAAATACTGAATTATAATACAACAGTTAATCAGATTTGGAACTTATTATCATATTAAGTGACTAAACCTTTTTATTTCCTCAGTAGCACTGTTTATGGTTTTTAAAATACCTACTGATTTTTTTTCTCCATATTTCTATATATTATCTACAACCCCCCTCCCCAAGCTTTGCTGTTATGTGCTGATATGAGGAATATGTTTGCACTAAGTGAAAGCAAGGATTGTGGTGTTGTGGTATGAGGGTAGGGTACAAATTAGATATTAAAATTCACAGGCAGTATTTCACGACATTCTTACTTTCCAAAGGATAGTCCTTAATATTTAGGAATATCTTCCAAAGAAACAAATTACATTCTTCCTTTAAAAACAAATGAAACACCATATATGAACTCATTTAAAGCAGACTTAAAAAAATAATTTAATTGATTTTTTTAGAGAGAGAAGAAGGGGGAAGAGAGATATGAGATAGAAATATTGATGCGAGAGAGAACCATCCATTGGTTGCCTCCTGCATGTCCCCTACTGGGGATCAAGCCTGGGAATCAAACTGGGACCTCTCAGTCCATGGGACGACGCTCAGTCCACTGAGCCACATCAGCTAGGCAAAGCTGACTTTTTTTACTTGAAGTTGTCATTAAACTCACCTAATAATATTCATATTGTCTCCTTATTTAAGTATAATGTCAAGAGGATACATGCTTTAATTTTTTTTTTTTCAGTAATAGTAATGGTTTTCATGATCCACCCATAGACTTTTGTCTGGACCATTTATTTTTATGTTTTATTAAACTAGGTGAATTTAAAGCTTATGATTTGGGATACTTTGCTAATTAACTTAAGTACTGAAGCCATGTTCTTGACTACTTTAGTACTGGTAATGTTCTAGTTTAACTATTTGTCTCAGACTAGTAAATAAAAAAGAAAAATTTTATGTGTTTATTAAATAAGATACAAATAAATAATGGCAATACATTACAATTGGGGTGTGTAGTGGATACAATTTTGTTTCTGGAATATTCCAGAGTAAAATTTGGACACTTTTTGTCCACTGAAATTCAGATTCGTAGAGACAGGCCAACTGTGGGAACTACTGTGGATCCAGAATACAGGAAGCCCTCCCTTGGAACTTAAGGATCCTAATAATGAGAACACTGTAGACCCACATATAGCCTGGTGAGACTGTATATACTCTCTGTGCCAAATATAAGGTCTTCCCTTTTTTCACAATGAGAAGAGACCACTTTAAGATAATTTGAATATATAAAATTCTACGGATATAAGTAAAATAATCAAACATATGCAATAGGAATTCAATTACACAATCATATTTAAAATAATATTTTAGAAAGATATTAAAAAAATGTAATTTCTCCCTTCATGCTCACATTTTATGAGACAAATTCATTCTACTTTGGCTTCATTTGACAGCAATGTCTTCCTCAGCAGTAGTGCTACTTTGGGAATCATCTATCTGTCCTAGAGTAGAACTTTTCAAACTGGTATACATTTATCCAGGGGTAATTTAAGACTCTCTGGAGTGCAGATGGGCATGTGTAGCTTTAAGAAAACTGATTTCCAGAGTCCAACATCCATATGAGCACTTTTGTATAAATGACTTGTCCTTCCCCGCTTTACAAGAGAAAGACATTCTCCAACCCATTTCAGATCTTTTTATGATGTATAGCCCAGGGGTACATATCTTCCATAAATTGAATTAAATGAGCTAAATCTGTAACTCTAATTAAATGAGTTAAGTCTTTATATTTTTATGAAGATACAATTATAGTAAATATATACTACCTGATATGCCAGAAAATATATTCTTTGTAACTATTTACAATTATAGAAAATATTTTTAGGTGTTACCCTAAAATTATACAAGAGGGTACATACTTTTTCAAAAAAATTTTTAAGGGTTAAGTAAGTCAAAACTGTGAAAACAACTTCCCACTGTACATCAACTTCACTTCCAAGTTGTTTTTGATACTGCACTTTTGGAAGCTAAGTATGATGCTATTACTGAAATTTTATCCCAAGCTGCAAGAAACCAGACATACAATAGCACAATTAGCTTCTTCACTTATCTAAAAGCTATATATTTGTGAACTCCATAAAGGGCTACCATACTGCACAACTCCAGGAATGCAATTCATATCCCAGTTTGCATAAATAACATCACTTGAAGTTATGCATAGCACAGCCTGTGGCAGCCTTGGTTAACAATGTTCATTTTTGTACTTTCCTAAATGACTATTTTTCCTCAAACTGTCAGCATCTTCTATCTCCTCTTCGCTCTTACCTTATGACTTTGATTTCTATTTCACTTAGAATATAGAATAATCAGAAGAGAACTTCCCCTCCTCCCACCTTAACACAAACCCACTTACAATACCTGTATGTCCACGTTCTGCCTTTACTCTTACTCCTGATGAACTGCTCACACTCTCACCTCAGGCCAGCGCTTATACTTGTATGCTAGGTCCCACTCCCTCCTGCTTACGTAAGTAAGATGTTGGCTCTAGTAGTTGTCCCACTCCTCTCTTGCATCATCAAATTTCTCTTTTGTACAGATCATTCTCATCAGTATGCAAAACACTATAATATCTCCCATTAAAAAAAAAAAATCAATCAATGAACCTGTCCTTGGACTCTATACTCCTTTACAATGACCCCTCTCCCCAGTTTCTTGGCACTGCTTTATTTATATAGTTATAAAATAGGCACTACATTTTAAAAATTTACATTGAATATATTTTTCAAAGTAATAGCTTTTTGCAGAGAATCTGATATAATTCTATAGAGAAATAACACTCAGGTTGAGAATCACTGCTTTAGACTGAGATCCTTGAGGGAAGTGTCTGTTTCCTTAGGTTCAGGTTAGGTTCAGTGGAATGAAAGTAAGTAAAATCAACAAAAACCAGATGAATAGATTTCTTTTTTAAAAACTGACTTTTAGAGAGAGAGAGGAAGGGAGTGGGAGAGAGAAACATTGATCAGCTGCCTCCTGCACACCCCTTACTGGAGATCGAGTTGGAAAGGGGGCAGGTGCCCTGACTGGGAATCTAACTGGTGACCTCTTGGTGCATTGGATGATGCTCAACCAACCGAGTCACTCTGGCTGGGCAAGATGAGGCGATTTCTAAAATACCCTTTAACTCTCAGACTCCATGATGATGAAATAAAATCAGAGATCCTAGCCATCTGGTGTTTCTCAGTGGTTAGAGCGTTGGCCCAAGCACAGATAGGTCATGGGTTTGATTCCTGGTCAAGGGCATGTAGCTGGAATGAGGTTCGATCCCTGGCCCAGTAAGAGGACAAGCGGGAGGCAACCAATCAATGTGTCTCTCTCACATTGATGTTTCTCTTTCTTTCTCTATACCCACTCTGCCCCTCTCCCTTCCACTCACTCTGAAGATCAATGAAAAAAGGGGATGAGGATTAACAACAACAGAAAATCAAAGATCTTAATACTGATATAAGTATAATATATTGCCATATTTTGAAATGTGATTCCTAAGACAGTGCTGGACTTTAAAAATGCATTTTAAATTTAGTAATCAATTTATCTTAACAATAGTTTTCAACAATAAATTGATACTAATAATGTATTTCTGCACAGAAGGTTTGATTTTTGTGTAATCCAAGAACCCAGTTAGCTGTGACTCCTTTTGAATCTTTTGGTTTCAATTTCTTGTCCAGAAGCATTGGCTAGAGAGGGCAGAAACTCAAAGTGAAACATGGTAGGTCCAGAGTCCCAATGGGAATTATGGAAATTCTTCATCCGAGTTCAAGTTCAGCTAATGAACATGTCTGAAGTCTATTTTGGGAGCCTTATAGTCTAGGTTCATCTTCTCTGCACCTACACTGATTCCACCTGCTTAAAGATGACCTAGTTAACTGGCATTCAGGTTAGCACTTCACTTAGCCCCTTGTCCCTTAAGTCGCTAATTCTTGGTTAAAAAATTACCTCTAACTTGGGAAAGTAACAAGATTTCCCCAGAATGAAATCATGGAACTAGAAAATTTTCTAAATATTTTACTTACTTTTCCAGATTATTAAGAAAAAGTTAAATCTTCAATATTTTTCTGTACTGTATTAATAACATGATTTATATATGAACACTGTAAATGATAACTTTCATCTTCATTATCATAATCTTCCTGATACTTTTGCCGTCTCCTTTTTCTCAAATGTTAATGTTTTAAAGCAATTCATATTGATTCAATTTCTGTTTCCTTTTTGAAACTGGCTAAAGCACTGGTTGTTTTGCACACTAAGAAACATTTAGCAGTGTCTGGAGACATTTTTGTTGTCACAACTGGGGGCTGGGGGTTGTAAGGCTATGTATAACTGGTATTTTGTGGGTAGAGGCCAGGGATGCTGCTAAATATCCTACAACACATAGGACAACGCCAGGCAACAAAAAATTATCCAGGCCAGAATGACAATAATGAAGTTGAAAAAAACCCTATCCTTTCATTTTTTTTTATCCTCACCTAAGACCTTTTTTACATTTATCTTGAGATCGAGTGGGAGGGAGAGAGAGAAACATCGATGTGAGAGAGACACATCGAGTGGCTGCCCCCCACACAACCCCATCCAGGGCTGGGGACAAACTGCAACCGAGGTACCTGCCCTTAGTGGGAACTGAACCCAGGCCTGTCTGGTCTGTGGGCAGACGCTCTAACCACTGAGAAAACTGGCCAGGGCAAAACCCTATACTTTTAAAATGGACATATTCTAAGTAATATTAAACTATTCTTTTTTTTTTTTTTTTTTAATCCTCACCCTAGGACATTTTTGCATTCATCTTCAGGTGGAGAGGGAGGGAGAGGGAGGAGGAATAGAGAGAGAGAGAGAAACATGGATGTGAGAGACACAATGAGTGGTTGCCACCTACACGACTCCAACTGAGGCTGGGGCCAAAATGAAACTGAGGTACACACCCTTAGCGGGAACTGAACCCTGGTCTCTCTGGTCCGTGGGCCGA